AACGACTAATCTCTGTTCTGCCTCTATGTATTTGTCTATTTGAGATATTTCATATAATTGGGATCATACAATGTTTGTCCTCTTGTGTCTGACCTATTTCACTTAGTATATTTTCAAAGTTCATTATATTGAATTTATCACTCTTAAAATTGTTTACATAGTTCAGATTGCTTTTTTAAAAATAGACCCCCCCCCCTTTTTTTTAAATGAAGAAACAAAAAACCAAAACTTTATTGTGATTTGGTTGAAATTTTACAAAGCAGATTCGTTTTACATTCAGCAGTTCCCCATGTGTTTTGTGACACCGGTTACATTCTCTGTGGTGTAACAGCTCTCTTTCCATGTCCTCCTTGTGATTACTCTTTCTCTGTGTCCTTCCTGCCTCTGAATTCCTGCCTCTTTAGCCTTTCTCCCTGTTTGAATGCTGCCCTTCTGATCTCCCATGGTTGATTATTCTAAGGAGTGTATCTCCTCGATGTAGCTATTAGGCTCTATGTTGTTGTTGTTTGACGTCGAGTCGGCCCTGACTCATAGCGACCCCTCCTTGGGTTTCCGAGGCAGTATCACTACAGAAGTAGGATTGCCCAACCTTCCTTCCGAGGAGTGGCTGGTGGGTTTGAACCGCCAGCCTTCTGGTGAGCAGTCAAGTGCCTTAGGCACTATGCTACCAGAGCTCCATTAGGCCCTATAGGCCTGTCTATTGTTTGGCTAAGAACCAAGCCACAGGAATGAGTTCAATTCCAGGCCTGAAGGTGATTTGGGGCCATAGTCTTGGGGGTTTCTTCAGTCTCTATCTGACCAGTAAACCTGGTCTTTTTTCTTTTTAATTTTGTTTCACATTTTTTTCTCCCACTCTATCCAGGATCTCCAAGTTTGATCCCTTTCTCAGTGGTTGGCACAGGTAACTGGGTACCATCTAGTTCTTCTGGTCTCAGGTCATCTAGGCTGATGTTTTCATGGTCTATTAGTCCTTTGGACTGTTTCCATGCATCTTTGATTTTCTTTGCTCCAAACGAGGAGAGACCAATAGTTGCATCTTAGATGGGCACTCACAAGCTTCTAAGACTCCAGTCGCTACTCACTGAAGTAAGATGTAGAATAGGATTTTTGGTACTATCTTGTGCCAATTGAACTTGATGTCTCTAGCGACAATGGTCCCATGCCTGCAGGCCCAGTGACTCAGTACCTCAAGGTGCTTGTTTGTGGCTAAGAAGTTATACTAACTTTAACCCCTGTCAGGTTTATACTGCATATGGACATTTTTATAGCACATATAAATATGTATGTAGGAATATTATCTGCCAAACTTATGTATGGTCATGGGTATATTCCTGTTCACCTATCCAGATCTGATGTTCCTGCCTATCTCCCTACATATCCACTCATAGATGAATGTTTGTTATTACTGATAATGCAGTATTGTGCATGCAATAGTATTTACCTTTATTTTCTATACCTCTTGTGCACCTCTTGTGTCTTCCTTTTCCTTAGTAAAACTATGCTAGTTACATGCTTTTGTGATATTGCTTTTCCCTTCACCTATATCAACACCTATCTCTTAACTATCCATCTTTTCCCTTTCCCTCCCATCCTTGGTGTCCAACAAAGAAAATTTCCTTCCCTGTGTAAACCCTTCCTTGTTGTTTTATAGTAACAGACTAATAGAATATTTATCCTTCTGTGATTAACTTATTTCACTCAGCATAATGTCCTCCAAGTTCATCCATGTTATGAGATGATTCACTGATTCTTCATTATTCTTTAATGTTGCATAATATTCCATTGTGTGTATGTACCACAGTTTGATTATCCATTCATCTGTTGATGGACACTTAGGTTATTTCCATCTCTTTGCTATTGTAAATAGTGCTGTGATGAATATGGGTGTGAATGTATCTATCCATGTCCTGGATCTCACCTCTTTAGGGTATACTTCTGGTAGTAGGATTACTGGATCAAATGGTATTTCTATTTCCAACTTTTTAAGGAAGTGCTATACTGTTTTCCAGGGAGCTCTGGTAGCATAGTGGCTAAGACATTTGCCTGCTAACCAGACGGCTGGCGGTTCAAACCCACCAGCCACTCCTCGGAAGGAAGGTTGGGCAATCCTACTTCCGTAGTGATACTGCCTCGGAAGCCCAAGGAGGGGTCGCTATGAGTCGGGTTTGACTCGACGGCACATAACAACAACAACAACAACATACTGTTTTCCATAATGGTTGTACCATTTTTTCAGTCCTACCAGTAGTGTATGAGAGTTCCAATCTCTCCACACACTTTCCAGCATTTATTTTTTAAAAAATAGACTATTTTTTTTAGAATAGCTTTAGATTTATAGGAAAATAGAGAAGATAGTACAAGGTTAGAGTTCCCTTATTAACAGCTTACATTATATGATCATTTGTTATAATTAATGAACCAATATTGATACATTATTAACCAAAGTCTGTACTTTACTCATATTTCCTAATTTATCCCCCTTAATGTTCTTTTTCTGTTTCAGGATGTATCCAAACACTACATTACATTTAGTCATCAAGTGTCTTAGGCTCTTCTGGACTGTGACAGTTTCTCAAAGTTTCCTTGTTTTTGATGGCCTTGAGAGTTTTGAGGCATTCTGGTCAGGTATTTTGTAGGATGTTCTTCTTTTGGGACTTGCTTGATTTTTTTTCCCCCCAAATAATAAGACTGGTGTTACTGGTTTGGGGAAGAGTACCACAGAAGTAAAGCACCATTTTCATTACACTATATGAAGGATACATACTGTCAACATGACTTACTTCTGTTGGTGTCGACCTTGATCACCTGGCTGAGGTAGTGTTTGTCAGGTTTCTCCACTGTAGAGTAACTCTTTCCCCTCTTTTTCACACTGTACTTTTTGGAAGGAAGTCACTATTCACAGCCCACACTCAAGAAGTGGGGAGCTGTGCTTCTTTTTGAAGGCAGAGAATTGATATAAATTATTTGGAGTTCTTCTGCACCGGAAGTTTGTCTCTTGTCTCTGATATATTAGTATATGAACTCAGATATTTATTTTAGATTTTAGGTTATAATCTGGTATGACTTCATTGCTCAAATTTTTCCAACTTTGCCATTGGGAGCTTTTAGTTGGTTCCTGTGTCCTTGTGGCACTCCCCTATCATTGTGTGTGTGTGTGTGTGTATTTTAAAGCACTTCCTTACTTTCTGGAACTGCAAGATGCTCCAGTTCTAGAATCAGTAATTTCTCCAAGGAGTACTTGTTCTGATCTGGATACTGGAGGAAGTTGCTTTTTCTCTGTAAGTAGGTGGAGTCTTCTTGGGCCTCTTGTTCAGGAGTTTTTGTAGCTTCTACCAGAGTTTTTACCTGCCTTGAAACTGCTCCTGGGAAATGGCCCCTGACCTCATGGTGGGCCCTGTCCCTGAGACTTTGTGTTCCCAGCCATCCCAGCCCTGGGCCAGACTGTCTCTTGAGGGAAACATAACAGCTCCCTGCCTATAGGCTGAGGTGGGTGCCTGTGGGCTGAGAGAAGTGACTTACCGGGTCAGGCCCACAGTCAAGTAATGCCCTCCTGGAGGTCTGCAACCATTTCTCTATGTAGGTACAAGGATGAAGTTCTTGAGTTCTCTGGACTGGTTCCAATGCAAGATGTCCTGTCTCACTGTCCTCGCAGCCTTGCAGTGTCTGAGATGCCCTAGCACTAGAGGACCCCAATCACCCTTCCTAGGCTGATGGTCAAATGTGGGGATGAAGTGCAGACACCAGAAGCAGATCCCACAGGCTCAAAAACTCATGGCTTCTGACATAACTGCTGCCTGAGGCCCTAGGTGGGGGACAGGGAGTACCCATTGTTCCTGTCAGAGGCCTTGGGCTGGCAGGGACAGATGGGAAATTCGGCCACAGTTGCAAGAGGGCTGAGGGCAAGAGAATGCTGGATGCCTTTTGTTGAGCATTTGCTGTTGGAGAGCTGGCTGAAGACCCCCATCTCCTCTTGTGACCCTTCTGGGTTGACACTACCATTACCATATCCACCCTTAGAGAGCAGAGGCTCGGAGAGGTCTCTGAACTGTGCAGGCTGTACTGACCCTTGGCTTTGAAAGTGTTTGTTTGCCCTTGGCCTCTGAGGGTCTCTGGGCCTGCCTGGACTTTCTGGGGGCAATGGGGCCTCTCTGTCTTCCCAGATTCACCCTAGAGATCACAAACCCTCTCATAGTCAGTAAATGGATCTTTTCCATGGGTCATCAGTGTAAAAAGCTGCAGAAAGGTTGGGGTTCCCAGTGCCCACATGGGCTGTGAGTTTGAGAGGTCTGGGTGTTTCTATGCCTAGGGCCCTAAGGCCACCCCCAACCCTGCATTGGGATGACGTAGCCTCAGATGGTGAACATGGTGGGGGTGGGGGTGGTGCTTCTCCTGGAAGGGAGATGAGGTCATGGGACAGAGATGCAGATGGGATTCAGCTTGCTCTTGTAGAGGGCAGAGGGGTGGGTTTTAGGATGTGGAACAGCAGGGCCAGGTCACAGATCTTTCCCTTCTGCTGGTCCCCCCAGGAGCACACACACCACCCACACAGCACACTCACATGCCACCCACATGGCATACTCACAGCCCATATGGCACTGACATGGGACACTTATGGAATATACACTACTCAAACAGCATGCTCAGAGCTTACGTAATGTATGTGGCACACTCACTCACATGCATTCACACAGGCACATTCAGTCAGTCTCACACACAGTAACATCCACATGCACACCCCACACACACTCACATACACTCTTAAACACATGAACATCTTTATGCACAACTACAAACACACGCTATTTTACTAACACCCTCCCCCCACTCATACTCCTGTTGTCCAAGCTGGGCTGACCTCTGTAGCTGTGACTTAGTGGTTAATAAGAAGCCCGGCTGTGGGGAGGGGCTGGCTGGGGGATAAAGTTCTGAAGCAGCTGTAGAGGGCTCCTTCCTCTCTCTGCACCATCGGAGAGAATCCTGCCTGACCCAACTTCTGGACCATGACCCAGCTAGTGGAATGTGTCCCCAACTTCTCAGAGGGGAACAACCAGGAGGTGAGGAGCCCAGCAGGTTAAGAGAGGGGCAGTGTGGAGTGCTCAGGCCAAGAAGAAAGGGGAATTCTTGGTGCGGGCTGGGGATTTGTCTTCACAAGGGGTGTGCTCATGTGCCTAGGGGAGTTGGGAGTGACCTGACCTGACCCAGGTGTTGGAATTGTCAGATGGGGAAGCAGGGCCAGTGTGGGGACTGCTTTTATTTGACCCAAAAGGACTGTTGTGATGGTCACAGGGAGGCCACCCATGTGTGCCCACAGAACTCATGCTGTTCTCACTCATGTTAATGCACTGAGTCCCCCCAGCCCTATGAAGCCCACTTTACTAATGAGGGAAATTAGGCACAGAGAGGCTAAGCAGATAACTGACAGCCACGGAGCAGGATTTCGGTCCTGGGTCCTCATTTCCAAGCACTGGGCAGTACTATCATGTTCCTCCTAGTTTCTGGGCCCTTCATGCCCTTTCTCCATTCATCATCTGTCCCTCCCCATGGACTTACGGGTAACACCAATTGAGAGGTCATTTGAGGAGTGCAGGAAGTGGACCTCTCCCTGACCTTGGGCCAGTTAGTCACCTTTTCAAGCCCTGGCTGCTCCACTCTGCCCATTGATTGTCAGTAGGGACCCCCTGGTTCTACTTCCTGCCTCAATTTCTCCTTGTCCCCCCACAGCAGTGATGGGGTTTCCCAGGGTTTGGTGGTTACCATCTTGCACATTCTCATCTTGCAGGGGACCACATGCTCTTTGAAGGGTCCCCTAAAGCTCATCAGCATCCCATTAGGCCATGCTCTGGTGTGCGGGAAAGGCACAGTACAGCCATTCAGAAGCTCCATTTCCCTGAGTGTAAGGTAAGGGCTGGCTTCTGCCCTACAGGTGATTGAGGCCATTTCCAGAGCCATTGCACAGACCACTGGCTGTGTACTACTGGATGTGGATGCGGGACCCTCCACCAACCGTACAGTCTACACCTTCGTGGGGCGGCCTGAGGATGTGGTTGAGGGGGCCCTCAATGCCGCCCAGGCCGCTGCCCGGCTCATTGACATGAGCAGGCACAAAGGTGGGGGCTATAGGATGGGACTCGGGGGCAGGCTTTGGGGCATTCTCCTGGGTGGGTTGGACATGGGGCCATGCCTTCCTCTAAAAGCCTCTGTGGGAAGGGGGTATTGGACCCAGCTTTGTCCTCTGGGGTCCTGTGAGTTACAGGTGGGAGTGTGGACTTCTTGGAGATCCTAGATTCTTTCATTGGTTGCTGAAGCTCCAGACTGAAGACCTCCGTGGCCTGGGCAGGCATAGTTCTCTCCTCCCTTTATTGAGGCCACCAACCTCCCTCAAGACAGAGGAAGAGAGTGCCTTGGTGACATTGCCCAGACCTGCCAGAGGTTCCCTATGGATCATGAGGCCCACCTATTCAGCTCTTGCTAGGCTCTTATGTAAGGGTGGAGGGGTCAGGGGCAGAAGATGCAGCTCCACTGGAGGAAGCTGGCCTGACACCAGATAACCCTCAGATCCAAACACATTAGCGCCAGGGCGGGTGAGGACAAAGTTTAGTAGACACAGGGGAGCCAGTTGAAAGGCCAGGATCTCAGGGTGGGGTTGGCACAAATGGGGGGGATTCACAGACGACCCAAAGCTGGGGTGCAGATAAGAGCCTTATTGAAATAAAAGGAGCCAGTTGTCTGGCTGGAAGGGCCAGGTGGAGAGGAGGGTGAGGCCAGGAAGGACAAAGGCTGAAGCAGGGTAGGGTAGGGATGATGACTTGATTCCACTAGACAGACCCCTTCCCCAAGCCCAACGTGTACTCCCAGTTACCAGTAGTGGCAGTAGTGGGGGTGGGGGCTGGGTTGGCCACAGCCCACCAAGGTAAGCAGTTTGAGCTTGGTCAGAATTCACTAAGAGTTGAGTTATGGAAAGTTACTTGTGTGACTTTTAGGAGAAGGAGGGGCTTATTGTAAAAAATCCAAAATATCAGGTCTTGCTTCTTCCCTGGGGTCCTACACAGCCTCCCTCACACTGGCCAGGAATAATGTCCACGGCTTTCTACTGATGCTTTCATATCCCCAAAGGCTATTATGGCAGGAACTGCTATCCTTTGAGAGTGGCTGGTCAGCATGAGCAGGTGGAGCATAGTTCACTGCATGCTCCCCGGCATCTTGCTGATACCCCTTCCACATTGGACCTTTGCCATGGCCCCCATCCTCAATGTCCCCCATGTTTGCAGGGGAGCACCCTCGGATGGGTGCCCTGGATGTCTGCCCCTTCGTCCCTGTCAGGGATGTCAGCATGGAAGAATGTGTGTTATGTGCACAGGCCTTTGGCCAGCGGCTGGCAGAGGAACTGGGTGTGCCAGGTGAGTGTCCCCAGGTGGGCTATCAGGGGCTTCAGCCAGCTTCTTTTCACCTCATGTCGGGTCACTTACCATCAGCAACTACATATTGTACCGCTGGGAAGCCTCTTAAAAATGGAGATTATTACAAAACAAAGCTCCAGTGAGCAAACTGACACCCAGGAACCCTGCTGCTTCTTCACTAATGAAATAAATGCAAGTAGAAAGGACAGCTGATGTGTCACATCCCATTTGCCAGGGACACAGGGGGCACTTATGGTCCAGCATTGCCCATGGCATAGTGAACTGTGTAAGACAACTGAACAAGACCAACCGTGCCCTGACCTTAAAAGTCTGTGGCTTCTAATGGATTAACTTCATCATGGACTGCCAGAAGAATGAGAAAATCAGTACTAGAATACAACCAGAACACTCCTTAGAAGTGAGGATGGTAAGACTTTCTCTTACTTACTTTGGGCAGGTCATCAGGAAAGACTGAATGCTAGAAAAGGGCATCATGGTTGGTAAAGCAGAGGGTCAGCAAGAATGAGGTAGACCCTCAATGAGCTGGATTGGCCCAATGGCTGCAACAACGGACTCAGTGATCCCAAGATCATAAAGATAGCACAGCACCTGCCAACATTTTGTTCTGCTACACATAATGTCATCATGAGTTGGAGCCAACTCAATAGTAACTAACAAAAACCACAACCTCACTTTGGGGAATTAATCAAATCAAGAACACGATCCCAAGCAAACAGGACAAATGGGAACAAAGGGAGTATCTAATAATGGGGGGATGGCCAGACAGATCCTGAACAGCCTCTGGATGTGGGAGCTCAGGAGCCAAGAGCACACCAACAGTGTTACCTTGGTGCTGTAGGAGGTGGGAATTGAAGGGGATTTTTGTTTTCTTTATGTTCTTTAATTTGTAGTTATAGGGATCATTTAGTGAAAATATATTGTTTTGGTTACCTAGTGCTGCTCTGATAGGAATATACCACAAATGGGATGGCCTTAACAAACAGGAGTTTATTCTCTTACAATTTTGGAGGCTTTAAGTCTGAGTTCAAAGTGCTAGGCTCTAAAGGCTGGGTAAAAACCCCTCAACCTTGGGCTTCAGGTCTGCCTCTTGCTCCCAGCCTACTGAAGCTAGAGGCTTTTCTTCACTCAGACAGCTACTGGCTGCTGAAAGCTGACAAGCCCAAGGTTGACAAGTGAAAAGGCACAGTCCCAATGTTACCAAACCGCATGGCAGGCCATTAATTCAAGTCCATTGAAAGTCCCCAGGTTGACAGAGCATAGCTGTTGAACAATGACACGGCTACATGCAGGGTTCAAGCATGTTATAAGCTAGAGACCATGCTCAAAGCTGCTGCTTACATACGGGAAGAAGACCACATCCCTAAAGCAGCTACTCAGCTGCTTGTGGTAGAGCCCACCATGGAGCTGATTGTCAGTCTCATCATGGGGAATAACTACCACCAGCTGCCCAGCCACTCAACCAGGCCCAGCCAAGTTGACATACAACCTTAACTACCCACACATCTTAAAAAAGAAATGTGAGCATCTTTCTACCAATGTTTCCCAGATGTCTGAGAGTAACTCCTGTGATTGCAATGACGCTGTGCAGAGGGAGCCAAGTTGGGGATGGGGAGAGAGGAGATCTTACCCCTTGGTGGGAGGGCAGAGGGTGAGGGCCTGGGATGGCTCTCCAGGGAAGTGGGAGAGAGTGGCCTTGCCTCAGTTCTCCTGTGGGATTGGGGATTTGGCCTCCTGTTGACCAGGTCTGACCAATGCTTCCCTTGCAGTGTACCTATATGGGGAGGCAGCACGGATGGCCAGCCGCCGGACCTTGCCAGCCATTCGGGCTGGGGAATATGAAGCCCTCCCTGAGAAGGTACGACAACCCTGTGGTAGGCATGTATGGGAGGGAGTTGGTCCTTGGCAACAGTGTGCTGGACCCTGGCCCACTCATCTCCTGTGGGGTGGGTGGGTGCTGCCCCTTCTTCCTGAATCTGTGGTTGCCCCTTCCAGTGGAGGAGAGCTCACTCCAGGTAAATCCTTCCACAGCTCAAACAGGCTGAATGGGCACCTGACTTTGGCCCTAGCACCTTTGTTCCCAGCTGGGGGGCCACTGTCACTGGTGCCCGGAAGTTCCTCATTGCCTTCAATGTCAACCTGCTCAGCACCAAGGAGCAAGCGCATCGCATTGCCCTCAACCTGCGGGAGCAAGGCCGTGGGAAGGACCAGGTCTGTCCCCACCACGCTCTGGAGTGGCCCTCAGGAGGACCAGAGGCTAAGGCCAGCGTCTCAGGGAGCCATGAGGAGCAACTCACAGGGAGGCTGGCCAAGGCTCAGCCTCTGTTTGCTGGTGACCAGCCAAGCCCCATTTAAGTGTTCACAAGATGTGGGACAAGGCAGGGTCAGGGCTTTGAGTGGTCTCCATTGGGGAAAGCTTGTTTCAAAAAACATTTTATACACAAACAGGGCTGTACCTGTTCTTAAAATACTGCTGTCTTTCCATACTGGTGGGAAAGCAGCTGTTTTCAGAGCCCTCAGTGCTCCCAGACATACCCAGGTACTCTAGATACCCCTAGATGCCCTCAAGTATCCCCAGGCCCCCTATGTATCTTCAGGTGCTCCTAGGTATCCTCTATCAAACTTGCCACAGTAGTCATCATCTATTTTGAGCATCACTCCTACAGGAAGTCCTGGTCAGACACAGATAGACCTATAGACACCTGGTGAATGAGTTGGAGGGTGACTTGAAACCCTTCCTCCTCCGGTTCTCTCCTTCCTGAGACCCAAAGACCCTCCACACACCATCTTTGGCTATCCAGGCTTCTGAGCTGGGCCAGCTAGGGGGATACAGACAGAGTGGGGCTCAGAACCAGGTGCCAGGGGAAGCAGGGCAGGATAGGGTGAACTTTCTTAGCCTGGGCCCGGAATGGCTTTTCTTTGGCAGCCAGGACTTCTGAAAAAGGTTCAGGGCATCGGCTGGTACTTAGATGAGAAAAACCTGGCTCAAGTGTCGACAAACCTCCTGGATTTTGAGGTCACAGCATTGCACACAGTCTATGAGGAGACCTGCAGAGAAGCACAAGTGAGCAGGTCAGGGGCACCCCTGTTGGCTGGGGAGGGTGAGGGAAGCCTTGCCAGCTGCATGGTGCAGGTAAGGGGACTGAGGCACAGATAGGTGAGGGGACTTGCTCAAGGTCACACCTATCATAAATGTGGGAAGGGGCATGAACCCTACCTGTTCCCCACTGCCTATCATCAGACTTGGAATCTCTAACCACAAGCCTTTCAACACAGTGGGCTGAATAAGTGTCTTATAATCACAAGGTTTTTCACACCTGAGGAGTAAATGACTCATAGGTGCCCCTAGCTTGCTGTAGGGGAGAGGATCTATCCAGGTAAGCAGGGCAGGTGCCTCTAGCTGGCTGGTTTGGGGGTAGGATGGGGGTGGAATCCATCCAGGTGAGTAGGGCGGAAGCTTCCAGCCTGACCCCAGGAGCATCCTCAATGCTGCAGCACCCCAAGGTGTGGACCTGACTTGCTCCACAGGAGCTGAACCTTCCAGTCGTGGGCTCTCAGCTAGTGGGTCTGGTGCCTCTGAAAGCCATTCTGGATGCTGCGGCCTTTTACTGTGAGAAGGAGAACCTCTTCATCCTGGAGGAAGAGCACAGAATCAGGCTGGTGGGTAGGGCTCTCAGCACGAAGGGGGTGGGGTGGGAGTAGGAGTGGGCCAATGGGTCTGATGGGAGAGTGTGATCAAGCTTGGTGCTCCCTGGGGTTGGTCTTGGTGCTGGAGGCACTCACACCCCAGCTATAATCTCATCCATGAGCTAGGCCTCCCTTCAGGAGGAGCTTCATAAGACTTTCACATTGTGGCTTCTTTGAGCCCAGAGAAAATTCTGGTGGGATGAGTTTCTCCCAGCTGTATGGAGAAGACACCACTCTGGAAAGGAGAGGTGGAGTCTAATGCCCCCTCTTTCCTCTCCTGCCTTGGAGATTCTGTCTCCTTGAACCTTCTTGAGGAACCCAGGGTTTTCTTCTGGTTCCTGCCTTAGCTCATTTTCAGAGGTTAGCACCTACTCTGGTCTTTAGTATGTTTCTGTTTATCCATCCTGAGAAGGAACAATCTATCCAGGCTGTGTTTGGCTATGAGTGTATGACTCTGGATAAATCTCTTCAACTTTATCACTAGACAGCAGCTCAAAGTGTGCAGATGATTCTCAGGAGCACTTGGGCCTTGCTCTGGTGTGGTTCAGCTGCACTGGCTGTGTGTGTGTATGTGTGTGTGTGTGTGTGTGTGTGTGTTTATGTGTTCTTCATGCCTCACTTCCTGGCTCTTGGGTTCTACAGTGGAGGCTGTACTTCTTTGACTCTGTCCTACGACAGAGTTCTCCTGCCCAGGGGCAGTGTGGAGAGTTGTGTCTTGGGGGGCTGGCAGGAAAGGGGCCTCAATGGTTTTGGTGTTCCCTATAGCAGAACAGGGGAGCTCTGGTGGCGTAGTGCCTAAGGCATTTGACTGCTAACCAGAAGGCTGGTAGTTCAAACCCACCAGCCAGTCCTCGGAAGGAAGGTTGGGTGATCTCTTTCTGCAGTGATACCACCTCAGAAACTCAAGGAGGGGTCACTATGAGTCGGATCCAACTCCACGGGAGTGGTTGCGTTGCATTTGTGTTGCGTATAGCAGAACATTGTGCCACAGTGTATGTGTATCTCATAGCACACTCTCAGTGCTGGGACCTATTTCCAAATAATGCTGCAATGAAGACCTTTACCCACATGCCTTTATCGATCATTGTGGAGTAGCTATGTGTGAATTGCAACCAGAGGTATGTGCATCTTGTATTTGGAAGGGTGTTTCTGCTCCCTACAAAGGTTGTCACAATTTATATTTCTCCAATTAGAGGATGAGGAGAAGGCCTTGTCTCTACTTTGCACATGTACCAGGTACAAAGAACACTATGATTTTTGTCAATAGGCTGAGAGAAAAATTGGATCTCATTTTTATTTACATCTTTTTCATTAGAAATGTGATTGATCATCTTATTAGTGTATTGATCATTATTTCCTGTGACCCTCCTGTTAACACTCTCTTATGGTTTTTGCACATTGGGTTGTTCATCTTATAAATTCAAGAAAGTAGCTTCATGTCTATAGGGTCACTACAAATTAGAGTTAACTTGACGGCAGCAGCTGGTTTGCTTTTTGGTTTCTGTACCAAGTTCTCTTAGGGGTCTTTGTTTTCCTATCCAGTTCTGTGTGTTTTCTGGGAAATGATTATTTCAACTGCAAATAGACATCATTTTTCAGGAATGATAAATTGCTAGAAAAGGACATGATGTTGGGTAAAGTAGAGGATCAGCGAGAATAAGGAAAACCTTCAATGAGATGAATCTCAAGGTGACGCTTCCTCATGTGTTTTGTGATTTTTGATTGTGAATGCATGATCTTTGGAATTTTATCTGTGGTAATTCTTTCTCTCTCTTTTTTTTTTTTTTTTTTAAATTGTGATTAAAAAAAATTTACAGAGCAAATACACTTTCCATACAGCAGTCACATACACTTTGTCTCATGACATGGACCACAATTTACCACAATGCAACATCTTTCTTCCCACTTCCTCCTGATAGTTGCCTCTTCCCTGTATCCATCCCTCCATGTACTCCTACCCCCTGAGCTCTCTCCCTGTGCCTGAGCAGCCCTTCTTTCTCTCATGCTTGTTCTCTCCATGGAGTGTATCTACCTCAGGTAAATGCTCAACTGATATGTCTCTCTATTGTTTGGCTGGAAGCCACTGGTGTGCATTCAATTCCAGACCTGATGGGCAGCTAGGGGCCATAGTCTCAGTGGTTCCACCAGGCTCCATCAGGCCAGCAAAATCGTTCCCCACGTTTTTTCCCCCCCAAATGATTTTGAGTTTTGTTCCACATTGTTCTCCCCATCTATCCAGGATCTCCTACAAAGATCCTCTTCCAAGTGGTTGACAGCAGTAGCTGAGCACCATCTATTTCTCCTGGTCTCATAGTCGTATAGGCTGCAGATCAGATGGTGTACCAGTCACTAGGACTAATTGTTTCCATGAATTTTTGGTTTTCTTCATTCTTCATGGCTCTGGATGAGGAGAGACCCATCGTTGCATCTAGATGGCAGTTTGCAAGCTTTTAAGATCTCAGTCGCTACTCGCCACAGTAGGAGGTAGAACAATGTTTTGTGGTATGTTATACCAATTGAGCTTGATGTCCTCTGAGACTATGGTCCTGAGCCCTATCTGTGGTAATTCTTGAACACCTGGATTTAAAGTTTGTTCCTCCAAAGAAGGATTGTGTTTGCCTCTGTTAGGGAGCTCTAGTGGTGTACTACCTAAGAGACTTGACTGTTAACCAGGAGGCTGGTGGTTCAAACCCACCAGCCACTCCTCTCCTCGGAAGGAAGATTGGACAATCTACTTCTGTAGTGATACCCCCTCAGAAACCCAAGGAGGGATCACTATAAGTGAGATTTGACTTGATGGATGTGAGTGAGTCTGTTAGGTGCTTGGGAGCACTACCAACATAGGGTTACTTTAAACTAAGTTTTTGCTTGGAATTTTAGAAGTGCACAGGTAGTGAATTCTAGCTCATATCCCCATCAGGGTGGACTTGTGTTAGGAATTACCAAGATAATCCCCACCCCCACCCCCCGCCTCCACTTCACCAAAAAGAAAGGCAGAGACTGGGAAGTACTCTATTTCCTCTAAACACCTTTAAGGGTGTTTTTTTTTTTTTTTTTTTTTTTTTTTTCTAGTTTGTTCTTGGGTATAATGCCTTTCAGTGGTTTCCAGTATGACCCCTACCCTTTGAAGGCTCAAGACTACTCACACCCATTTGGGGCTGTCAGAGGTGGTCAGATACCCTTAGGACAAGCCCAGCTTCAGGGCCATCAGCCTTTCTGAATTCACTTTTCTGGTTATTTCTGGGTTTGAATGATTTTCTTTACTTTTTGCCAGTTTAGCCATGCACTTAAATACAAAGAAAATCCTATTTATCCTCTGGAGTTTTTGTTCCAGGAGAGCTAAAAGTGACAGTTGCTTGCCAGTTCTACCCTCTAACTCTCAGGAGGCTTCTTACACTCTTGCTTCCATGCTCTTGGGGAGATCTCACAAACACCCTCCGGAATCCCCCTGGTTGATTTCTCTCTAGCAGCACTAGCTGCTTTCTACTTTTATGTTTGGCTTACAATTGACTGGAACCGTGTTGCTGGCATATTGCTCCATAAGCTGTTCTGAATGTTCTTTTTTTAAAAAATTTATAATTTGTGCAAACATCACCATTCACTATTTCTAAAAGTTCTTTATCATCCCAAACAGAAACTCTGTACCTATTAAGCAATCATCACCCTGATCCCAACCCTTAGTAATCTCTAATCTACTTTCTATCTCTATGAATTGGCCAATCCTAGATAGTTCATATAAGTTAGAATTATACAGTATTTTTTTTTTTTTCCTATTTCACTTAGTGAAATGTTTTCAAGGATCATCCATGTTGTAGCATGTTATCAGAAATTCACTTCCCTTTATGGCTCAGTAATATTCATTCCATTGTATGTATAGACCACATTTGGTGAATTCATCTATTGATGGACACTTGAGTTTTTCAAGCTTTTGGCTATTATGAACAATGCTATAATGAATATCCATACACATTTATGTCTGAGTCCCAGTTTTTAATTCTTTTAGATATATACCTACCCAGGAGGGGCACTGCTGGGTCATAATGGTGATTCTATGTTTAACATTTTGAGGAACCACCAAACTATTTTCAATAGCAGCTGGATTATTTTACATTCAAATCAGCATTTGTATATCATCTTTGGAGAAATGTCTAGCTAAGTCTTTTGCCCATATTTTATTTGGATTGTTTTTGTTGTTGAGTTATAGTTCTTTACATGTTCTGAATATTAAGCCTTTATCAGATATGTGATTTGGAAATATATTCTCCCATTCTGTAGTTTGTCATTTCATTCTCTTGATAGTGTCCATTGACATACAAAAGTTTTTCATTATTATGAAGTTCAATTGATCTATTTTTTTCTTTTGTTGCTTTGTGCTTTAGTGTCATATTTAAGGAACAATTGTAAAATTCAAGGTCAAGAAGATTTACTGCTATGTTTTCTTCTAAGATTTTTATAATTTTAGCCTTTAAATACTTATCTTTAAACCATTTTGAGTTAATTTATATATATTGCATGAAGTAGGAGTACAATTCTTTTGTATGGGGATATTCATTTTTCTTTACAACATTTATTGAGGAGATTGTTCATTCCTCATTGAATGGGCTTGGCCCTCTTGTTGAATCAATTCATCATAGATAGGAGGGTTTATTGATGGGCTCAATTCTATTTTATTGGTCTCTGTGTCTATTCTTATGCCAGTACTACACTGGCTTTGTACTTAACACAGAGCTTTGTAGCTTTGTAGAATGCACTGAAATTGGAAAGTGTGAGCCTTCCAACTACATTCTTCTTAAATATTGTTTGGCTATTCTTGCTCCCTTGAAATTCCATACGGATTTTAGAATGAATTTTTCTATTGGGATTTTGCCATTGGGATTTTGAGCGTTGCACTGAATCTGTAGTCTGCTTTGGGTAGTATTGTCATTTTAACAATATTAAGTCTTCCAATCCAAGAACATGAATGTTCTTCCAGT